GAGGGTCAAACTACGCTGCGTGTAAGAAGGTTCACTTTTCAAAACGAACCACCTCCACGTATAAAGCCCATATCACAAAGCTGCCAATTCGCGTGTTGCGGTGAACGCGTTACTCCCCGGAAAGGACAATAGCGCGTTCGTTCCTCACCGCAGACACCTGCGGTCCGGAGTTTTGCCAATGTCTCAGCATCATTGAAGTTATATTTCGCAACATACCCTGCCATTAAAAAGAATAAGCGGTAAATAAAGAAGGTTAAGGTTGTGTATTGAGCTTGTCTACTTGCCTTATTAAAGTATTTGATTGAGTAAATTGTGTGTCAATTCAACCTTTCCGGCCTCTGGAAAAGGCGAAAACGCCGAAAAGTAAGCTATTGCGAATAAAAAATGTAATAACAATCTCGTGCCTTCTCAGGAATAAAACATTGACTAACTGAACAATGCTGAGACTAAGAGAAAATCGGACAAGGCAATTGCTACGGGTGCAAAAGGATGAAAGAAGAAAAGGTTTCGATGTTAATCAATCTCCAAGGGATGCGCCAAGACTTCGACTTCATTGAGCCTCGTTAGAGATGATTCATTGCAAATCTGGCCTATACCATGATTTTCAGCGGCCTATCGATTTATCAATTGAGTACTCCTAACCACCCATGAAGGTCTGATAACAATTTGACAACTAAGGACAAATGGTATGTTTGATGAACCAGAGGAGCGGGATCGGACCAAAGACTACGTGTATTTAGCAGAGCAGCTCTAATCTCTGCAATACACGCGTCCCTTATGCGTTCATGAACCAGCAGAGTATTTCTGACTACTAAGAAAAGTTTTTTCACTAGGACAAATAAGCTACGCGAACAATATGTTTTCTCCGCAGCTACCTGAAACGTGTTGTCCCGGACCTCATCAAACCAAGACTACTACACGGACTATATGGTCTACATGAGGACGGAAACCAAATAATATATTTCAAGATGTGAGTACATCGCGTTAGTTTACATTGCAAGCAGGATATGACGTTAGTCTGCTTGTCGAAGGGAAACGACTGTGTTCAATCACAAAGATGCTCAGATAATTGCAAAACTCAGACCCCAGTTCAGATTCGAACGTTCGATTACCCTTTCGCTACTAGAGGGTTGAGTTCTTTTAAAGTTAAATATCGTGACCTCGGCTGCAGGCTTTGCTCAATGGGTTCAATTTTGATTTGTACTCCCGAGACCATTGCCGTTGACAGGTGACTACTTAGAGCACCATTACGGTAAAAAACTATGGAAAGAGGAATGCAAAACAAGGTCCTCGGTTGGTGCTGCTAATAACACGTGAGCACCCCGAAAGAGTAAACGCGGGTTCGAATCTGGCCTGGGCTCCGAGTTTTGCTGATATCTCAGCATCCTTGTGGTTGGATTTCAAAAAATACCCTGCCGTGAAAAAATAGTAAGTGGTAAATAAAGGCTAAACAAAATGGTAAGTGTTAAGAAAAGCTGTCCATTATGAAAATGAAATTTTTGTATTGAATTATTTCTAACCAGATTATGAAAGCTTTTAAATGAGTAGATTGCGTGTCGATTTGACATTCCCCGGCTCTAAGAAATGTGAAACCGTTGAAACACTAGCTAGTAGTCGATAAATATCGTTATTGACAACCGCTGGCCCGCTTAAGAATAAAACCATAACTTGTGTACTTATATATCTACTTTTTCATTTTATTTTTTCTGGTCCATCTTCAGATCTACTGTGCGGATCCCATCACTTCTGGCACCTAATTCGTTTCCTCGCGTACATCGTCCACGAAGGTCTTTCAAGTTTCACGTGATGCTTCGGTTGCTGCCTGAAGATTTCCATTTCATCTTGAATGTCGTAGAATGCTGGTTGAGAAATTATCCCTGAAGTCTTGAGATAGCCGGGCTGGAGCATTCCTAATTGGATTGCAGAGAGTTATTTTTTCCCAGACAAGTCTGGCACCAATTTTCCGATCTCGGAGCGTTAAGAGGCTTGGTTCGCCCGGAAAGAAATCGAGCTAGCACCATGCTCGTGATGACGGGTGATGACGGACATCACCACCACTGCGCTATCCGCTTTCTTATATATCTATAAGAAGTGAATTAACATATTATGAAAATTCTGGGATTTGTTTCACTTTGTTTCCTGCCTTGCATTAGTCATTCAAAAACAGTTCTGGATTTTCGAGTAGGTTCCACTGACAGCTGAGAATTTTATGCTGTCCATGAATGCTGTTGAATTTTGGTCGAGTTGATTCTCATGGAGTCCTAGTATGGCTTCTCTAGGATGTTTCTAGGCCTACGTCACAGGCACTGACCGGCCTTTGTGATCTTAAATACCTTTTCCAAACAAGTAGGCCATCAATTTGTTGTGCCCCATAGGAATAGAGCGCCTGCTCCTCTCGAGGCGCGGTCGAACTAGCCGTCCTACGTCGCACAGCATCTCTAACCAAAGCGCTTCCCAAGCAACCGAGCAGGAACACGTGAAAATTGCAAAATCTCGCTTGTTTATGCAAAACTCTTGTCGGGACGCACTGAACTGTGCAGCGCAGTGGAAACTAGTGAAGTTTATCTTTACCTCTCAACTTACACTATGATTGGTGAGATTACATGTAATACAGGTGATGGTAACGAAGGATTTTACTGTAATTTGAGAACGAAGTATGCAGGAATTGTGTCAATGGCCACTCTTCGCTGCGCCGTAGAGCACTGGTGGAACATTGAACGTAGCCAGAATAGCTTGTTTTGAAATCTTATATAATTTTATTATATTGTTTTAGGATTAATCCTTCTTGGATTGCAAACGGTGAAGTGTGGGTATGGAGACCTTCAAAATAAGAACTATGATAGACGAAGCCGAGACTCGTATACTAAGAAGATAAAGAATAAAGCTCTTGGCGTTGATCAATCCTTTAGAGATGCACCAAGCATCCGACTTCAATAAGTATCGTTGGAGGTCATTGAATGCATATCTGGTCTTTACAATGACTCGCGGTGGCCTACCGATGTATGCGTGGTCGGCGTATGCTGCGCCTCTACATCGCAAATTGAAAAATAGAAGTAATGAAAACTAGCGTAATATCAGTCTTTTTAGATTTGCGTTTTTTTCTACGGTGGAATTATTCGTCATTTCGCATTCATTTCGTCCGTTGAACACAAGTAGGGTGAAGCTGAAATGATGACGAAAAATGTGGAGAGAGCACCATCTTTTAATGAAAATCGTCGAAAAATCGATTTCAAGTGCTTAAGATAGTGGACATTTAGCAGAATCCAAAAAGTTACAGAGCAGTTTCCTCCGAACTGGTTTACCACCTCATCGCGGCTGGGAAGTTTTCCTGGGTGTCGAGCTGTGATGTACAGCGCGGTATTCGTCCCTCCGGCAGGGTCTTCCAAGGTAAGAAGGAGTCCAACGTCTCGATCAGGAAGCCTAGTTACGAGTAAAGCAGTACTAAGATCCACCACCGCCTTGATATGAAGCTAGTCGCATGGTGGCAAATCTCTCTCTGATCCAGCAAAGCAGACGACTGTGTATGGTGGGAGCGACTTGGTGCAGACTTTGGCCAGGCTGACCTCGGAACCTCAGAGAACCACGACGGCTATATCAGCAAAACTCCGAAGAAGCGGAAATTATGCCGAGGTCTGCATTATCGGTGAAGACGGGTCAACCAAGTATCCAAGTATATAGAGCGGTTTTCACTGTTCAAATTAGCTTTTTACTTAGTTTTTGATATAACCGTAACGATGTGACATGCTGCTGCAGTTTTTTCGGAAAATCAGGTCGTCAACATCAAACTAAGATAACCATTTGATTGCATTCTATAGACCCGACTGAAATAAAACCAAAAAAATTAGGTAAGAAATAGGAAAAGTGAGAAAATGTATGATTTCTAAAGAAACCTCACTATTTTCTATAGGGAAAAATACGTTTTCTTAAAGGGTTATTATTCGCGCTCTTTGTCGTTGACGTCTTCGATATATGTGCCTCTCTCAGTTCTATATAATGCATGGAAACAGACACTGTTGTACAAAAGAATCGAGCTCCGTCGTACTTGAATTCAGAGTACGGAAAGACGCTTAGTGGTGGTTCGTGCTTATCAGAAGCTCGATATAATTCCATAATAATTGCATGAAAATAGATATGTGTACTGTGTTCGAAGAAAATCCTTTAGAAACAGTGCTCACGTTTTGAAGTAAAAAATGGTGATTTTCGGTCCTTGAAGGAAAGAAATACACTAAGTTACTCTGGCAAGGGTTGCTACCGGTAGGGCTTGTTAAGTAGTTAAACAATGATTGACTATGTTAACCGATAGCGCCTGAAAATGCGTTGATCGTCGATTAACTCAAGAAGGCATATTTTGGCCTCTACTTGTCTCTGTCAAACTTAAGAGCAGTCCATTGGGCTCTGCTTGCACTAGGAACTCGCCGAGCATTACAGCTTTCGTCTATGGCTTTTTTCTGAAGCCTCCTAGTGCTAAATTCCAATCGAGTGAATCAACTGCTGAAAAACACTTTGTGTTTGTTCTTTGACTCAAGATAATGCTCAGACTACCATGCTCTCCTTTATCACTCGTTGATGCAACCACTCTCGGACACTCAGCCTCGTTTTCCTTCTCTATGAAAAAATGTAGAGCAAATGAACTTTTCTTCTCAAACAGCATCTTCTGATCTCGTTTCAGTTCTTTCTCAAAAACGTCATTCGGCATGGGTTTCTTTTGCATTGTCATTTTGTTGACGATATTCCTAACAACTCACCCAACCTCATTTTCGGTGAGGTTTTTAGCTTAGATATTTACCAACATCAACATATTCTGTTATTCTTCGTTCAGTAAAATCACCTCAATTTCTTGGGTCATTTGATCACTCTGTGGGGCTCTCTTCACTTAATGAATCACATTTTCAAAATGCGACACTTATGGTGCATTTGGTCCTAAAATGCACATAAAGTTTTTTGGACTCTGAAATCCAAACGGTGAAAAACCAAATAGATGTTGACGCTTTCGTTTAAATATGGGCGAAAAGCTGATATGTCAGATGCCATCCCGAAACACCTTGGGTAAGTAGTTAAGAATATCAACAATCAGTTGATTTTAGGTTGTTACCGGAATGGATGTTTATGGTACAGTGACTTTATATTTAAGCATACTAGCAGGAATAAATAGTAATATTAATAGAGATTTTAATCAATGCCTTTACTAACGGGGACATGAAACTCATCAAATGAATCAACCTTGGTACTAAGCACGTAGGCACATTTAGGTTGCTCCTAGCACCTCATCATTTCATCAAGGAAGCTAAGTGGGAATTCGACTAACCGGCAGGTGATCCCCGCCAGTCATGAGAAAGAACCGCAGTTCGAAACTTTGCAGGAAAAATCACTGATCCTTGCATTCAGTTCTTGGGAATTCAATGGACCGATGTTCAGGTCTACTGGAACGCCCCTACAGAGATATGCTCTAAAATGAACATAAACCTCTCCGTCGAGGAATACGGAATAGAAGCCAATCCGAGTGAGCACTAACATCAACCATGGAAGTACACACTGTTGACAAAAGAATTTAATAAAGTTCTTTTGAGAAAGCTGAAACCATGAAAGCATCACTGTTTTCACTTACAGAATATACATTCTACGGTGTGAATATCGTTATCTTCTACCAATTCGAATTCGGTTTTTACCCGTATTTTAAAGATTACAACAAAAGTTCTCCAGTCAACGGCGGTCTGCCTCAGGTACGATCGAACCCATCCTATCCTACGTTTCTTCCTCCTCTGCCTTTTTCGTTTTATTCTTTCTCTTTTTTCTTTTATTTCCATTATAGGACCCCTACAAAAAAATAATTTTCAGGATTGCAGTTTAGCAGCTCATCTTCAGAAAGTTCGAAAGGATATAACAAACATCATACCTGAAGAAAATTTCACCAATCACGCCATTATAGATTTTGAGCACTGGCGCCCACTTTTCGAAGAACTCTATGACAAAAAGAAGGTAATTTCCTGAGAACAAGCCAAATCTCAAATTATAAGATAGCATTAATCTTAGATTTTTTAAATAATTTTGATTTCATGCAAACTTACAGTAGCCACAGTACTGTTGAAATACGAGCAAAAGTCGGAACTTCAAGTGACTTCGAACCTCTGATTACCCACACCGGAACACAAGTGCTACCCACCACACCAAGCAAGGCCCCAGTTTCGCCTTTGTCTCAGTCAGTTTCTTTTTAGTCTGTCGACGCTGTCACCAATCATCAACTGCAATTAGCCCACTGAAAGTGTTGCGGGTTCGAGGCTCAACTGAGGTTCTGAGTTTTGCACATATCTCGGCAAAACATTGCAATTTTACGATGTTTTCCAAAAAAAATATTGAGTGCAGCATCAAAAGTGAGAATGAGCGCTTTCTCTTTCTCTCAACGCTTGAACACATTTCTCATTTCCTGGCATGGTTATGGTTTGAGAAAGCCACAGCCCGGCTAAGTCCAGATCACAGTGAACGCATACTTTGCCCTTCTACGGAAATAACTCTCAAATATAAAGTGTATTGAACTCTGTATAATTCTTCGTAAAGTCAAAAGCGATTCATTAAATATTTAAAAAGGTTTATGTTTCTAATTTTCCAAGATTTTTCATTGCGACCTCGGCAAACCTGTGGTAGAGTGCTCACCACGTGGGCGACTAACGTAGCTCTTTGGAAAATGTATTACCTTGCAACCAGAATTCTTTTCGCTATGTTACCAAATAACGAGTTTGATTTGCTCTGAATTTGAATCAGAACGGAAGTGATGAATAGCCTCCCTGTATGGGAATCTCTTTTTTGAGGGATGGATTCTCTCCGTATATTGCTGTTCTACAGAACGGAATACCCATTTCCGAGCACTTACGATGTGGAGATTAATGGCTGGAGGAGGGACAAGAGATAACAAAGCGTGAAAAGCAAAGCCTCTAGAGTTGAACAACCTTTTAGAAATGTACCATGGACTTCATTCGTACCACCGTATAGTTCGACTGAATTCGTATTTGGCAAATGCAATCAATTCCAACAGCCTCTCTAAATACCGTGCCCGTATGTTTATCCGGCTGGACAATTCTGATACTAATTTGCTCACCAGGAGCGATGGTGGGCTTGAATTCTTAATCGATCTTGGTTAGTGTTTCGCTTCGGAAAAAGTCTCATCTTGTCACATGTTCTAACGCTAGGATTCGCAGTTATGGGAATGGTTCCGTATAAAGTCAACCAAGTGAAATCATCTTCGGCTTAGAAAGAAATTTTGTAGACCTACCACTTTTCATCAACAAAAAGGTTTCTTCTAACCTTACAGGTCTATCAAGAAGCATCAATTGAACGAGTTAAAAGAATTCATCCAAGTCTAAGCGATGCAGAAGCACGACAGCTAGCTGTGATCCAGTTTGATAACGCTGCTAAGTTCGTTTGACACCAAACTGTTTTCGCATCGTTCGAAAGTAAACTGTTTTATTTAAAAAAACAAAATATGAAAACAGTATTTTCATACGTTTTTGCTTAGAACATTCCTCGTTGAAACGATAAAAACTGCTAGACAGATGCGACCGAAAGCATTGTGGAGCTTCTATGGATTTCCGTACTGCAACTACAACGCTGGCCGAAAAGGCAGTGACTACAATTGCTCTCGAAAATTCGAAAGCTATAACGACAAGTGAGAGTTTTTAGAAATAAGTGAAGTGGATTGAAACACGTAACTTCAAGCGAGCAAAAAGCATATTGTGATTATAAAAATAGCGATAAACGCACTTTAGGTTAGGAATAGGTGGTTATTGAATAACTGTTATCTAAGTAAAGGGGTTAGAAAACCTGAGAATACGATCACTGGCTTATTGGAAAACAAAGGGATAGTAGTGATGTCAGCTCCTTGGTGCGGGTCACACTTCAAATGTTGCCTGGGTCTTGGGAGCTATATACCACTTTAGCACCTGGATCGATGATTTGTACATTGACGGCTGCACGGATCGATTTCAGTGCATCATTCTACAAGCTTCTTATTGTGTCGTAGAGGATTCTTTTTCACTATTTTGAAGTCGATCGATAGAATTTCCAAGGTGGTCGATGGAAACCTGGTCCGTATATTTGATAACTTAACAAAACCTTCATCGGATCATCGGCTCTGATGAAGACGATACCGTAGAAACGTTAGCCGAAAATAAAGAATGTTATCAACCTCGTGTAAGTTTATCAAAGAAGGAATAAAAACCTGTTGTCGAAAGATTTTTTCAACGCGTAGCGATATAAATTCGGCATAGCCGCTTAGTCAGACGGCGAACTCAGAGTGTGGTTGAGGGACGATGACAGGTAGTGCGGTTAATGTTAAACAAATTTATCGTTTTGTTGGCATGGAAGCCTAAACAACGAATATTATATCAGATAATTTTGTTTTAAGTAGATGGAAGAGTAAGGCTGAAAAAAATCGAAGCTAAAAGTGAGTAAGGAAAAGTTCTCATTTAGAATGCAATATATCTTTGACGAGAGCACCGCTTTGTCACCATCAATCTACCTTAAATCTAAGGCTTCTGCCGAACAGCACTTTCGTTACGTCCAAGTGAGTTTACGAGTAAATACGCTAACAAACATGAGATGAATATTACGATTTCGCAACCTTAGCAATCAACTGGTCACGGAAACATACTAATGGCTCCATTCTTAGTACCTTTGGCAGAACAGTTCACTTCGCATTCTGACCTCATAGGAGATGAGCATCATTCTTTTTTTGTTTAAATTCTTGTGAATTTCTATTTTCAAATCACTTATTAAACTTTATTTGGGGACAAAATTGCACCATACCATTATCTAAGGTCTTAAGGCAGTTCTTCTGGAAGCACTACGAATAGCCAACAAGTATAATCCGCCTCTTCCGGTCTACCCGTACTCCAAATTCGAGTACGACCCTGTTCAACACCTCCACTCTTTCTACGACAGTGTTTGTTTTCACACATTTTCTTTACTTTAACCGATGCCATTTAAGTACGTGTTGGAATCGCAACGCCTAGAAAAAAGACGCTTTGGTTTTCTTATAACATACAATTCTAAGCAACGCAGAAGAAACAACTGTGGAACTACAGCTGCAGACAAAATATCATAAAAGGCGAATTAAATACAGAACACGTTGAGTGTTCCAATATTCTGATTTCCGTTTTCCCATTTTAGTCGGATCTCTGCAGTACAATCAAGCAGCCAGCAGATTTGGGCGTAGATGGCTTGGTTTTCTGGAGCAGCAGTGCAAACATGGCACAGCGCTGCGAAAGCATCAAGGATTACGTAAAAAACCACTTGGGACCGTGAGTCTTTCCGTAGTAATCTGCTGAACGTTCGACATCTTAGGCAAAGAAAACGACTAGGGTTTTTTCTTTTCGAACAATGGTTGTTTAACGGCTCCAGCCATCGTCACTTCAGCATCACTCTACATGTCATCGAACAACAGCAACGGTGCAAAAGAGCGAAAAACTGTTCCGTTACTCAAAAATGTATGCTGAAAAAGTCCGACAAGATGTTAGCACTTATTCGATTTTTTTGAATTTTTGATACCAAGATCCTACAGTCCACAAACAGTTTTTTTTTGTAGACCTCCATACCCTTACTTAGCCATCTGCGCTTCAAGCAAGAGTAACTCGACTGACTATGACGACTACGAATGCATTCCATGATTGCCGCCGTGGTAAACCTTGGTCGATCACATACCATCACTGGACTGCTCATTCACCATTGAGAAAATTTCACTATTTTTCACCGAGTAAAAGTATTTTTTTACATAACCTAATAATAAAGGTTAACAATTCTATATTTTGCCATCAGGACGACATCACATGCGAAATAGTTGGCATTTGAACGATCAAAATGCCTTCATAAAAGCTAAACAAAGTCGCCAGTGGTAACGCTAATAGTTCCCAGGATCGGCTTTTTGTTAACCTCGGCATTGGATTATAAATAGCTCGTTTTTTTTAGCAATCACGAGGTTGTTATTCAGCAGACGCTTACTTCCGTACAAAAACGACACATACAACACAACGGTATCTGAGGTTTCGGCAGCATCGCGCTCTTCAGAACCTGAAAGAAAGTTAGTGCTTAGATCTCCGCGTCATTTTTACTTATCTATTTCCTTAGTTATTTTACATAATTTAAATGCCAACCATTATTCTGTTGTTGTCTCGTATCAGTCATCCAAAAACCTGTTCCAATGCAGCCATTCAATGACTTGCCTCTCCTTGGAATCCTGGAACCTGTGCTAGAGCTTTCCAGAGATCTTGATACGCGTAGTCTCCGTACTCTGGGCATTGTAAGGAGCTTTTCCCGAACAATTGTAATACCAGCTTTGTCTCTCCAGAAAGATGAAAGGCTCGTTTGTTTCGCGACGGAGAGTAGTGAGCATACATGTGTTGCATAGAATCTCTATCCATTGCATTTTCTGTGCTCCTAAATGGGTTGTGTGCGCAAACAAACACTCCAACGCCCAGAATGAACAGTTCCAGCGTCCAGAAAGGCAATGGAGAAAATCATTCACGAATACTACTCGGATCTCTTCGAAGGCCACGTCCACCTTCCGTCATATGAAATAAAGAGGGATGGATATTTTGCACCAGCGGTTCTCCCTTCCGAAATCCGACATGCCATCTCGTCATTGAATAATCGAACAGCACCAGGTCCGGACAGGATAAGATCAGAACACCTGAAGAACCTATTGGCAGTCCTCGTAAACACATTGGCTCGGCTCTTCACACGTTACCTGTCTGAATGCAAGGTCCCTACTCAGTGGAAGGCCAGTAAGACCGTGTTATTGTTCAAATAGGGTGACCTACACGATATAGGCAACTATCGCGCAATCTGCTCGCTGTCTGTCGTCTACAAACGTTTCATTCGAGTCATCCTAAACAAGATTGACAGAACACTAGACGAAAGAGAGCCATGTGAGCAGGCAGAGCTTCGAAGTGGATTTAGTACGATGGACCACACGCACGCGGTAACACGGCTCATCGAAGTATCGCTAGCGGACAAAAGACCGCTTTGTCTCACTTCCATTGATTTACAGAAGGCCTTTGATTCAGTAGAGCCAGAAGCAGTCTTGGAAGCCCTTAATAGTCAAGTAGTCCCTACTCAGTACATAAAGATTTTTTGTGAGCTGTACAAAAATTTCACAACCAAGATATCACCATTCTACAACGATATTAACATTGACGTCAAAAGAGGAGTTAGGCAAGGCTCGCCAAAATTATTTACCGCCACACTCCAGAACGTCATGGGAACATTGGAATGGGATAATATGGGAGTGAAAACCGATGGTCGGCAGTTACACCACCTTAGCTTTGCTGATGACAGCGTCCATATAACACCAAGCATTAGACAAGCGGAACGTATGCTTGACGAATTTGACAAAACCTGTGGAAAAACTGGTCTTCGACTAAATCTCACAGAAACGATGCTCATGAAGAACGGATTGGTTTCACATACCCCATTCACGCTCAACGGAACGAATATCTCCGAATGCTCCAGTTTTATGTATATAGGTCAGGAAATCAATATGATGAGCGACCTAGCTCCAGAGCTGGCCAGAAGAAAACGAGCGGCTTGGTTAGCTTTCAAGAGCATCGAGGATGCAGTGAGGAGAACAAAGAACACCCAACTCCGTGCCCACCTTTTCGACTCAACGGTACTTCCTGTCTTAACGTATGCGTCAGAAACCTGGTCGCTGCGTAAGCAAGTTGAAAGCTCACTCGGCGTTATAGAACGCGCAGTCGAAAGGACGATGCTAAAAGTATCCCGTTCCACACAAGTAAGGGATGGGATCCGAAGTTCCAATCTGCGTCAACGATCAAAAATCAAAGATGTCGTTCTGTACGCCAAACAGTCGAAGATAAAGAGAGCCGGACACGTAATGCGTATGAATGACAACCGATGGACAAGAGCCGTTAGTGACTGGATTCCTTGGGATGTCAAACGTACTGCAGGAAGACCACCGACCCGATGGTCAGAGTTCTTCACAAAGAGCCTTGAAGAAAGATATGATGCTCGAAGAGTCCCTAGAGCGAGCAGAACCCACTGGGCTACTCTTGCACGCGAAAGGGAAAAATGGAAGACTTACTGGGGCCTTCTCGAGTCACTCGACGATCAACGGGACTACAGATGGTATAGGTGATGCATTCCAGCATGCTATTTATTCTGTAAATCCCGCGACCGACTTTCTATTAGGCTCGTCATTGATCGAACGATTCTTTTTATTCTCAATGATCAAACGCGAGGTGTTATCTTATTTCTTTATTCAGGAACAAGCTGACATTTCAGCGGATTTCTTCTTCCTCAGAGCCTGGACAGGTGAAGTTGACCGCAATCTAGTCAGCAAAACACCTCCATAACCAAACTGTAAAAGTGCTAAGCGAATATTTTAATCAGATCAAACACAGAATTGCTTATTTGTACATTAACCGCTTTCGACGAGTCCTCCACTGAATAAGTCACGTGATTCCCAACCTCACAGAGTTCATATGGAAGGGCAATCTTTCCTTCACTTTACAATAACAGGCTTGAATACTGTCCAATGAACTATTTATTGTTGGTGGTGTACTAATACAAAGGTATTCCACGTAAATAAATATGATTTATCAAGTGAAAAAGGAAATGGTGGAAACAAACGCTGCCATAGAACGAGACAAGCTCCATGGGTGGTACTCAAATTTCCCAGTACGGGTAGACGAGAAGTGATGGATTGTACTTCTCAACTATTCGAAGAGTTTCCAAAAGAATATCCTTGAAAATATTAAATGCCATCATGGTATGCTCTGCCTCTGGAAAACGAAAGTGTTTTAACAAACATCTCAAATATAGATGTGCTCTTCAGGTCTCTCGAGCGAGAAAGACAACTAAGCTGTTAAGTGAGTGACGGGAAAGCCTTTGGTGGTTTTTGCAACTCAACAGTTTAAGAAAAGATTAATACTACCAAATATTGTCTGTTTTTTCTCTTTGTTATATTAGTTCACAAGAGCGTGTTCACTGATGGGGCTACCAACGCTTTATTTTGTTCATTTCCCTAACATTTGAGAAGACATCCATCCAATGGTGTGGAGACCAACTCCATCTTGTCAGCCTCAATTGACCAAAGTATAAACGCACACTTTGTTAGAGTTGTTCAACAGCTCATATACTTGGTATTTTGTTTGATTCCGTTTAAAAGGTTAACTAGTTCTTTCTTCCCTCTAATGTCGGAACACCGCTGCATGACTTGTATGCAAGGTAAAAAAAAACTGAGATGATGCATTGGTAGGGTGCCGCAATTTGTGCACAGGCCGGTTACGCAGTCATTTACTTCTTTGGTTCCACGAATGGAGTCGAATTCACCACACGTTTTCAAGAAAGTGATCAATGTCGAACACTCTATCTTTCATGCTTTATATATGCGAACTTAACTGAATGCTCAAGCCATTCGTTGCAACAACTTTCCACCTTCTTCGTCGTTCGTTTAGTATTCTACTTGGTAAGAAGAAATCGCTTACCCTGTGTTAGGAGAATAACGACGCTTTCGGCTAGTTTTTTCTGCATAAGGTTGACTGAGTGGTTGCAAATGTCGAATTCACCTAGTCATCAAAATCTATATTACCTTTGTTAAGATATCGTTCATTCTTATTTGTAGTACTAGCTCGATGACAAAGCAGAAGTCAACATTCTTACTGAAAATGACTGTCCGTTTCCTCTCAGTTTTGCTCATGAAAGATTTCAATTTCAATGGTCTTAAATCAAAATTTTACTGTGAACTGTATATGATACCTTTCTGACGGTAACATTCAATTGTTAAAAGTTAACAGTGACTTGTGAAAGGGGATACCGTTACTTAATTCAAAAAAGACAAAAAATTTTTCGACAATCAGCAATTCATTAATTATCGACTGATAAAGTGCGATCGACAAAATTGTACGGTGGCGATTACAGAACGCATTCGTAGTCATCATAGTTAGCCTGATTACTCTTGCTTGAGGCGCAGGTGGTGGTGTATGGGTATGGAGGCCTACAAAAGAAGAGCTGTCAACTGAATATCTAAAGTAAGAACCTCAAACTCAAAAGAGGCGAAGGAAGGCTGACCCTGTGGCTGACTTCTTTAACACACATTTTTGCTCAGTGGAACAACTCTTCGTTGTTTTGCACTGGTAGTGCTTTTCGATGACCCGTTGGATGTTACTGAAACGCAGGTAACAACATCCATATTCTTTTGTTTTTCAATAGGAACAAATTCTCAGCCGTTCTCAACTGGCTAAGGTGGCAATCATCCGAAAAACTTTCACAGGTGCACTCACGGTCCAAGATCGGTTTCTATATAGTCTTTGATTTTTTCGCACCGCTTCGTCATGTTTGCGCTACTACTCCAGAGAATTAGGCCATCTATGCCTAAGTCTGCTGGCTGGTCGATCGTACTGCATCGATCCGACTGAAATAATAGAATGAATTTTGAGCAAAACTTTGAACTTGGATGTTATCTGCAGGTTATTCACTCCATGAGTGACTTTCCTGCAGGAAAGATTTATTGTCATTCTTCGTATTATTGTTGAGCAAACGCGAGGTGTTATTTTATTCTTCATTTGCGAACAAGCTGACGTTGCGACGGATTTTGCCTTCCTCAGAGTCTAGAAAGGTCAAGTTGAAAGCAATCCATTTAGCCAAACACCTCCATAGCCAAACAGAGAAAAGCTGAACCAAGATTTAAATCACATTGAACACAGAATAGCTTCTTTGCATACTCACCGCTTTCTATGAGGCTTCCACTGAGCATGTTGCGGGGAGACCAATCGCACAGAATTCACATGGAAGCCTAAAGTGCTTCTCCCATCTGAATAACAAGCTTATATACTGTTGATTATCACGCGAGATAATGAGGCATTCTTCCCTGCGGTTTATTTTTGGATTTCTGGAATTAATCCAGAACGCCTCGAGAGTTTTGCGTGCTTGTGTTCTCGATTCCTGTGCGAGGATCGTGACACGTATTTCAAAGTCCTCCCCGTTATGTCTCTGGGTCCTATGCGTGCCCAGTGGGGTATTTGGTTTACGTATACCGACTAGATGTTCTTTTATACGGACACAGAGTGGTCTACCCGCCCCGCCAATGTATTCGTCTCCGCACTCTTACAGGAGATCGGATAAACTATACCCGAGCTCATACAATCACTATCTCTACCATTAAGACAAATTATGCAATTTCGCGTTGCACATACGGTCATAGAGGTGGTTACGAACTAGCTGGCGGCTAAGAGTACTCGGTGGCATTTCAACTACGTTTACCAAATTCTCGTGATCCGCCCTTCTTAAGCAGCGTTTTATAGCTGCACTTACATCATTTGAGATGAAGGGTAGGAAAAACGGGACCTTTTTATCGTCTTTATCGTCGGGACCTTCATCTTGAATGATGTAAGTGCAGCTACAAAACGCTGATTAAGAAGAGCGGGTCTAGCGAATCCGATAAACATAGTTGGAATGCCACCGAGTACCCTTATGCGCCAGCTAGTTCGTAACCACCTATATGACTATCTACGCGCAGCGCAAAGTTGCATAATTTGCCCTAATGGTAGAAACTGTGATTGCATGAACTCGGGTACAGCTTGTCTAATCTCTTGTAAGGGTGTGTAGACGAATACATTGGCGGGACGGGTAGACCACTCTGCGTCCGTATAGAAGAACATCTAGTCGGCAAACGTAAACCAAATACCCCATTAGGCACGCATAGGACCCAGAGACATAACGAGGAGGACTTTGAAATACGTGTCACGATCCTCGCACAGGAATCGAGAACACAAGCGCGCAAAACTCTCGTGGCTTCCTGGATCATTTCCAGAAATCCGATAATGAACCGCCAGGGATGAATGCCTCATTATCTCGCTTGATAATGGGCAGTATATAAGCCTGTTATTCTGATGTGAAGAGAACTTTACGCTTTATGTGAATTATGTGCGGTTGGTCCCCACGCAACATACTCAGTGGAAGCCTCATAGAAAGCGGTGAGTGTGCAAAGAAGCTATTCTGTGTTCAATGTGGTTGAAATCTTGGTTTAGCGTTCTCTTTGTTTGGTTATGGAGGTGTTTGGCCGAATAGATTGCTTTCAAGTTAACCTTTCCAAGCTCTGAGGAAGGCGAAACCCGCCGAAACGTCAGCTTGTTGGTGAATAAAGAATAAAATAACACCTCGCGTTTGCTCAACAAGAATACGAAGAATTTCTTGATCAATGCCGTTAACGGAAAGTCGGTCGTGGAATTTGTTGCCATTTCAAAAGTTTATTGTCGTTGGCTCGAACCGTTTGCTGCCGGTGGTTTACTAACCCAAAAGGTGTTCTACATAAATCTGGTTCATCAAATTAAAAATGAAATGGTGAAAACGAACGCTGCTATAGAATGAGTCGAGCTTCTTGAGCGGGTCGTACTCGAATTTTGAGTATGGGTAGACAAGAAGTGATGGATTGTATTTCTTGACTAGTCGAAGAGATTCCATAAGAATTGCCTTAAAAATGTGAAACAACAGTTTTCCGCTTTCGAAAACCAAAGTGTTTTAACAAACATCTGAAATATAGATGTGCATTTTAGGTCCCATGAGCGGGAAAGGCGAGTAAGCTGTTGCGTGGGTGAAAGGAAAGCCCTTGATGGAGATCTTGGTAATCCGACAGTTTAAGAAAAGACAAATACTGTCAAACATTGTCTGTTCGTTCTCCCCGTTAGATTAGTTCTTTGCAGAGAAGGTAACTATAGGGAATGAACATGGGATTATACAAATAATAAGCTCGCGAATTTGAATTTTACACCCGGTAGACAAATTTTACGACAAAATTGGTGCTGAATCTTTTTATTAATGAATCTTCTTTTATTTCCAATGTGAGAGGCAGGCTATGCTTCCATGCGAACTCTGTGCGATTGGTCTCCACTTGGAGCACTCAATGGAAGACTCATAGAAAACCGTGAGTGTGCGAAGAAGCTGTTCTGTGCTCCATGTGATTGAAATCTTGGATTGGTATGTTGTCCCTTTTGGTTGTGGAGGTGGCTGGGTAGAACGCAGTCAACTTCAGGCTTTGAAGAAGGCGAAATCTACCAATGTCTCGGCGTTCAGTCAATGCAAAGTGAACAGAAAGTCTTTCTTGGAAATTAGTGCCAAATTTGGATTTATTTAAACGTCTGAAGAACTTCACACTGAGCACCACAGTTTAACAATCGGAGTGAAAGCCTGTCAAAATGAAGATGAAGATCTCTAATCGTTGCTCGCAGTTCGCAAAGTTTTCTCTCAGCGTTGGGCATAGGATATCTTTGTTTTCTCACGAACATTCTTTCAAATCTGATGTGCGGATTTCAGGATTTCTCGTATTCGCTTTGTTCTCTCACATCCATCGTCCACGAAGTTCTTCAATTTTTTTGCCCGTGGTTCCAGCTTCTACTTGAGGAATTTCCTTTCAACGTGAGTGTAATTGTATAGTGGTTAAGTCAACTCCGCCTACAGCTCTGAGATAGATGGACTAGAGCGATTCCACTGGGATTGCTGATAACAAGCTTTTCCTAGGCAAATCGGCACCAATTGTCCAGCTTCAGGTGGACGAGGGGTCTGATGAGCAGTGGTGGAATCAGAACACAGCCGTGTTCTTGATGATCGACTATACTACTCACTCCATCACCCAGAAAGGTTTATAAACACATGGCACTTGGGTAGTTTGGCTACTTGGTGTGGACTTCCATCAACTTTGTGAATGCCTTTAAATGCTGATGGAGCCCATCTTTTCTGGAATATTGAAATGATTATACTAGGAACCTTCCAGATCTCCATCACAAAGAGTTTTGTAGATTGGAGGAAATTCTACCTAAGCAAGTCTAGTATTAATTTCTCGTTCTCGGAGGGATGGGTCGAATGAAATACCAATATAGTATGCATTAGAGTAAACCCCAAACCCCTACTTCTCATATTTTTACAAAGACAAGTTTATAAACACACCTGAACATAGCGAAAACGTTGTTCTGAAGAGGCTTTAAAACCGAGATAGATAGATGGGTACAGTACCGCACTTTCTTCGTAGATATACTTTATTCTAAACGTGATCTTTTTTCCTTGTTCCTTACCTTCAATTCAACTTTTAGCTCGAGTTTCGCCTGTCAACCATAACAAATCCAAATCACTATTCACTGCTATTTTGTACACTTGCGTATACAGAACTAAATAAACTGTAGTATCTAGTGATTAATTTCATTAAGGGCTCCCTCCATTCCCTACAGCATTGCGTTCCCCATCTGAAGACGGCGCCACTACTGCCTTGTAAAAGACCAAACCCGTTATGAGCACCGAAAGTCAGAAGCGTTTCTTACGGTTTGGATCTCTGCACAGTGTATGACCGTGTTCAGGGGTTTGTTAACCCATTCATTTGGATTAATTATTACCCACCTCGATGTATGCTTTTTCCAACCTCACTTTGCTCTTCTCTTCTCGTATTATATTTCCATTCACTTTGATTTCTCTATACAAAAATTATTTTTTAGTCCACTTTACTCAGCTAAAAGTTTCTTACTTTTCATTAAATCCTTTGTATCGTGCAGAACAACTGTAATCGCCGTCTTTCTCACCAGCATTGTAGTTGCAAAAGGGGATACCATAAATGCCCCAGAGTGCTTTCGGTCGCATCCTCTTAGCTGTCTTCATTGTTTCGACAATAAATTTCCTAGATGGAATTTTGTGAATTTCGCGTTTTAGTACGCTACACTTTAAGTAAATCTATTTATCTAAGTCGATTTGATGTTGCCAATAAGTGTTTTACCAAAAAATCATTTTGTTAGTGATTAACAAACTTGGCAGCCTCATTGAACTCGTTCTCTGCTCGTTGTCGGGTTTCTGCATCGTTCAGATTTGGATGGTTAGCTCTGACTCGATCTATAGATGCTTCCTGATAAACCTGGAAAGTCAAGAAAATTGGAGTGCGTTGCCCGACGTTCGGCCGTCCGTCTGTGGGGTGCCTGGGGTTGCGCTGACCCGTGTTGAGCTGCCCGTACCGAAAACTGGTTAAACTACCAAGTTTGATTTGAGGTTCAAAGGCAAACAGCGTGTTCTACTCGTCTTCGGTCAGCTCAGCGGAACGTATGTGCATTAAAGACAAAATGTCTCTTAATGACAGGCTGCTGAAAACAATAACCTATTTCAAGACTTCATTTAAATTAAGAAAGGAAGACTATTAACGATCTCAAATAGGTATCGGCTTCAACGCTTCTATTTTTCAATGGCCAACCATCCAGTATTTCGTACGAAACATTGGATGGAGTTTAATCGATTCTTAGAAGGTCCTCTGAACGTCTTCTGATCGTGCACACACCTGCTTTACGTTCTTGAAGTGTTGTTCAAAAAGCGGGCGCCATTCTTCTATATCGATTACGGCGAAGCCAGTAAAATTCTCGTTAGGTATTAGCTTTGTTATATTTTTCTCCACTTCAACGAGATGAGCTTTCAGATCAGTGTTCTGAAAAGTTCGCTTTTGGTGTTCACTGCCTCTTACGAGAAGGCGCAATCAAAGAAGCAGTAGTGTACAGGAAAGAACATCGAAAGGTTTGAAATATGGTGGTACCTGAGGCAAGCCACCGTTGACCGGTTGATTTTTGTTGTGTTTTTCAAAGTATGGATAGAGACCAAATGAGTGTTCATAGAAGATGACCACATTCTCCCCATAGAAAATATGACCTGCAAGTAAGAACCAAAGTAATGTTTTTCATGGTAACATTGTTTCTTTCAACTATTTATTAAGTTTTTATTAAGCATTTTAACGTATAATTCCTTCCACAATCAAACATACTAAATTCTTGCACATAATAGGCTAACCAGGATGAGCCTTGATTCCATACTTCTCCAGAGATAGGTCTACTTTGTTTCTTAAACACGTTTCTGAAGGTACATTCCAGTAAACCTGAAAATTGGCGGTGCACTAAGTATTCGAAAGCTTGACCCAAAATCACTGATTTTTCTTGAACTTATTTCCCAATTACGGATATTTTTTATATGAGAGGTTCCAGCAAAAGCCATTTAGTAGTTTTATGTATTTCCATTGCTGGGTAGTGGGATGAGCATCCACAAAAACCGACTATGTACCTGTTCCCAGACCTACTTCGGTTCACAGATAGGGCGCTGCTTCTACCCTTGTCTCATTAAGGGCGCAGTCACATTGATAAATCTGCTCTTGATTATAGTTTTATTGTCGATTAAGCCGAAAATTCACCAACAAGTGATTCAGAAGTAAATAGAACATGGTTTAGAATAGTTATGAACAGTGAACTATGCATCTATTTTCCTGAACACCCATCCGTATACTGGGACTACACGGCAGGTGTCAGCCAGCTACCTTACAAACAAGGAAAAAAGCTCATTTATAAGGTCTTACCGAAAACGAGTACAGCTGAGTAGGTAGGAGTGAAGCTAGCAACACTGCAGTGAGGAAGACACTCATGTTGAATTATGTTTATGTAGAATACCTTTAAGGACAATCCTAAGCTGCTATCTACGAGAAAATACGAAACGCATCTTCGTTTGTTTTAATGATAGCGAAAATCTTTCACTGAGTTTCGACACACAGGGTGAAGCCATTCTACTAGAAAAGTGAAAGTGGAGCTCACCTCACAATCGGAACGATCTCTGATGTAAATGAATGGCTTTGTGTCGCTTTAAAACGATTCTAAATCCTGTTATGAAAAACAGCCTTTATTTACGTCATTTTAAGACTCACTAGACAAAAAGCTCGCGGCTTTCTTTTGTGCTATCGAGTTTTATTAATTAATGTTATGAATGAGTGTGGTAATAACACGCCAATGTTCACTAGATTATTAACTAATATTGGAAGGTCCCTCATTCGATGGTATCGAAGCGGTCCATTATTGCTGGAGTTGTACTTAATGTAGAAACATAATAAATAAGTGAAAATAATCCTATCTGGAAAAGGAACGGTAAAAAAAAGATAGAAAATATGTGAAAAGACTTGAAGAAAAACCATGTGTTATAAGTTGGTCAACCGTTCGTGTTCTTTTCTCACTAGACAGCACAAGGCTAAATTATTTACACGGAAGTAAGCAGCCTTAAGAGTTAACCTCTTCTTAAAATTGGTCTATATGAAGGCCTCAGAAAATCTATTGCGGCTTGCATCGATTTCAATGCATACAGTTTGTAAATAGTGACTCTTTCCAAAATTAAAGCTTTCTATTTCGGCTTTGTTTCTTCGAAAGTATGAGAGAGTGCTTCTACTCATAGCTCCCGCATAGAAAGCCCTAGTTAATCATTTTTTCTATTCTTCACAACGAATGAAATCCTTTATTGGCCAGAGATACTTCCGTAGCCCCTGGTGTTATATGAAGTTCAACAAATCATTTCATTTTCGATACATCCTTTAACTAGAGGCAAATATTTTTTACATACCCTAATGTACCAAATGATGATCGTTGATCGTTCTTTCTGGTGATCGTTGGTGCCCGGCAAGTTCCCGTTTTACCTCGAGCCATTCGTCAATTGAAGTAACAAACGCATTTTTACCATAGTTTCTACGTGGTTCATTGACTTTCTTGAAAAGAGCAGGCTTCTGCTAAATCTCTTAACTTTTTTGACAATGCATTATCCTCATGGATTTCACGTATGTTGGCCTTGATATTGGTGGGGGACTGAAGTATTAAAACTCCCACTAACCCCTCGTGTTTTCGCCCAGCAACAGCGCTGATCTGTAGCAAACCTTCTAGAATTTATTTCATAATGCTTACCTAGAAAAAGCTTTTCACTGTTCATTGAATATGCCTGATCGTTTACAGCCAGAAATTCTTTTAAGAATAGGCTCTTCTTGTTCAAAATGATGTTAGTGTACCACATCGTTTTCAACATGAACGCCAAGAACAATTTTGTCGATAGTTTATTTTCAGGCAATAAGTGCGGAATTTTCTGGACAATGCATAAAACTTACTTGCTTGATACTTGAGCGGCCCATCCTCACTAGTTGTATGGGCTCCAGCATAATCACCATTTTTCGGAGATTTGCTGGTTAAGCCATTGTGGTTCCCTGGAATCCCGAGGTCAACCTGGTCAAAGTCTGCCTCAGGTCTTCACCACCACGGGCAGTCGCAGCCCTTGTGGATCAGAAGGAGATTTACCACCATGCGACTTTGGTACCAGAACGGTGGTGGATCCTGGTATTGGTTTACTCTTAGCTATGTTTCCTGAGGGAAACGCCGGACTCTTTCTCAGCTGGCAGACCCCGCCAAGGGATGAATCCCTTGTTGTACACCGCAGTCCGACACCCAGGAACACCTCCCAGCCACGATGAGGCGATGGACCGTTGGGAAGATTCGTATAAAAATAAATGAAATGTTATTTTACAATTCAAAAGACCAACTGCCTATGAACCTCAGCATAAATCGTTGTTATATTTATTTATATGATCTTATAAACTGCTATCTTTGAGGTGATGCGAGATTGATATAGGATTTCGTTGTCGTTGGCGTTGCGGTTGTTGTTGGCCAATGGCTGACATTCCGGCGATTTCGTCCTCCTCAGAGCCTGGACGCATTTCATGTAACAGTAGCCTTATATTCGGTGAAAAATTGTGCTGTGACGAGTGACTCCCAGGAACTCGCATCAGCTCAATTTATAAGATCATTTAAATAAATGTTGTTTTACATCTATTTCATTTCCGAGCACTCACGAACGAGTACTAAAGTTCAGTGAGGAGATGATTAGCGTGGCACCTGCGCAAGGATGACACGCAAACTCGTTGCAAGTAAATCAAATATGGAAAGAAGAAATAGAAATACTGATGAAATAAATAACAGAATGTGCGACTGTGAAGGCCTACAACGCAAGTACGACGGGTTGCTGACAATCGACAATCACTGAGGCTCTGAAGAAGACACTGCCGGAGGAGTGTTAGCCAAACGAGTCTTATAAAGACCTTAGAGTAAACAATATCCTTTTAGATTGTTCAGCTTTCACGAAATGTTAGCTGATCTAACATAATACGAATTATCGCCTCTCCGCCACAGGATCGAAGCGTCGAACCGTTCGATGAAAAAAAACTATACCGTTGACCAAACAATTTAAGAAGATACCCATTATATATAGTAAAAAAAATAAACGGCAAAGCACTCGGCGTTGATCAATCCCCAAGGGATTCGCCATGCATTCGACTTCATTAAGCATCGTTTGGAGGTGATTGAATGCATAGATGGCTCTTACAACTCGTATATGGTTTGACTCGCGGTGGCCTACCGATGTATCGAGCCGGCGCTGCTATCCTCGTAGACAAGTCTGGTACCAATTTGCCTACCCCAAAGGGATGGAAGGCTTGGTGGGCCATGGGCACCGGGTTCCACGTGTGCAGGGCGCATCCGACCACTGCGCTACACGCGCCGTTTACACCCATTATGTGTAAATTATTACGTACATTACACGCAAATTGAATGGTAGTATGTCTTAAAAAATATTTATTCGTCGCTTCTTGGCTTAATTCTACTATAGAAACAGCACATCGATATTAGTAAATAAAATTCAACGTTCACGTGCTGATTGTTTAAATGGAGCTCCAACTCTTCTTTGGAGATCAGCACTTGTAACCGAGTCATCGAAGGAAAACTTTTCCCTTTATCCTGAAAAGGAATCACGTGTTAGGTGAACCTAAAGTCGATTACTTGCTAGTCTAAAGGGTTGACAACGTGATGGACTTTTAAAAAAACAACTGCTAAATATTGAACAGCGTTCCCCCATGTTGATAATTTTTTCTCGACCATCTTTTATACGACTGCCAAATGAAGAGATTTACAGCGCTAACGGATTTTTTAATACGAGCCAGTCAGACCTATATGTGACCGGTAGTAGAATATTTTCGGCATTAAGGAACAAAAGTACCCACAAAACACAAGCGAAGCTGCCTTAAAACTGGCCAAAGCGATTTCAGAGTGCTTTCAAAAGAGAGTCGAGTAAATAAAAACTGATACGGAGCAAAAAACTCACATTTTCAATTCTGTAGAAATGGAGAAAGAATGATCCTAGAAAGCCAAGCGACGCCGGCACCTAACCTCTCGATCAGGGCAGTCGATGAGCTACTTCTGTGTAAGCTAGTAGAAGACACCATTACCATATCGTGTCCTTACAAATCTATTCCTTATGTATTCTTTCTTTGATGAGCTTACACGAGGTTGATAATGATGTTTATTTTCAGCTAACGTTTCGACCTCTTCGTCTTCCTCAGAGCCGATGATCCGAGTCGATGGTCCTCGCTTGTTATTCGTCTCGACGTGGCAGCTCCGCCTTCGTGTCGAGTCAGGTCTTCTTCAGTGATCCATCTATTACTTATATTCTAAATATTCAAGGACAATTCGTTCGAGCAATGTTTCGAATTCAGTAAATTCAACTTGATGTGACTATGAAGAACGGCTCTGGACGCATGCATGGAATCACAGCGGTTCTGAAGAACACGAAAAGGCAAAAAGGTTATCCATAATAAAAGTTTATTTATTAAGCAAGCTCATGTCACACAACTGCTCATTGTTGTCTTTTTAAAGTGGAACTGGATATTAATGCGATTACCAGAATCTAATTGTTACAAAATTTCATACGAGTTCATCTAAGAAACTTGGTAAAACTTAGGCTAGTGAAAAAATGTGAGAGGGGGATGGGGTAGGGTCTAGGAGCTCTTCAATGTTGTTTTAGAGTTTGCTTGTTACAGTTGATGAAAAAAGAAATTGCAATGGAAAGAAGGGATCAAGAAAATCTTTTTGAACATTTCTCAGTGATCATCAGGAATTCGAAGGATGTTTTCCGTCCAACGCTGTAGTTCATCACAGCGATCGACGGATTCTAGTGTACTGAAGTCGGTGACGCATTATTTGCCTGGAAAATGAGTTATTAAAATAAGAACAGAAATACCTAAATATGGCAATAAAGTATTTCTCTTTCTTTTTGCGTTTATTTTTCGGTATTCTTAAAAAACGAATTCGCTGTCTTATTTTCTGCCGTGCTATGGTGTACTTGCTATACTGTGGTCTATCTCGAAAGCAAACATCCTTTGGTTTTCTTTATCTTTTCAGCACTTCTCCAACCTTTTCAACATTAGTTTTCTTGTCGAAATGGTTTAGTGCTTCGTGTTTTTTATTCGTCTGAAGTACTCGGTTATCCCGTGTGGGTTCGTTTCCTAGCGTCTATTATTACAGCACCTGAAGGTTTAGCGTGTCATTTGTACTGGTCGTCTCTGGAATTTCATATTCTGTTTTGTTTAACTGCACCGTCCACTCATCGATCACTTTCCTTAAAAAATAAAACAATCATCATAAAAAATTCTTAGCACACCAAGTGATCCATTTCCGACTGCATGAGGGTTGAGAGCACCGGACTCACCGTGCTGGCAAGGAAGTTGACTTTTTATTGACATAGTTGTGCCATGGTATTTGCACTTCGTGCGAGTCAGTGGCTTTGGTTGGGCAGCCAACGAGTTTTTCACGAAAGCTTGATCTGTTAACCGAATACGGAATGTTCAGCCTATTGGCAACGAGTGGAGAATAGATGTTGTCGTGATACTGATGTCACGACAACATGAGCGTGCATCCTTTAATATTTAGTGCTTTTTTTTTGAGGATTAACGTAGCAAATTTGATAAGGTGAATGTGCTTTTAGAGGAGAAAGATTATTTGTTTATTTGCATAGCTCACATCAGGGCAGGTGTGAAGTGCTGGTTAGAGGTGCCATGCAGTGCAAACCTGGTCACTGGTTCGAAACTGCGATATCCTTCCACCAAGTTTTGCGTTCCTTCTGCGTCTGCAAATTGGAAAATTTCTATTTGGAATCGTAAAAAACGTGCTCATTTTGGCGTTCCATGAGCCAAAAATGTATCCAGTCCATTCTGTGTTGCTAGGTATGACGTTGAATTGAGAGATTGGTCAATACCGAACGCCTTATCTTCTGCTTTTGTGGGTGTTAAGACTCCGCTCGCTTTGCTGTCTTCTAGCGGTTTCTCAAAGAAGCCTGCGTCATTTTTGAAAAATCGAAAAAGAAAACAGCAAACCTCCCATCTGATCAACAAAAGCTGGTTTGACTGGCTTTTAAACGAAAAGTCTTAGACTGTTTTAGTGAATAAAAAGTAGCTGACGCTTTCTTTATGGAAATAATTTTATCCTGTAATACGTTGCAAAGGGGCGGGTACTGCAGTGGTACTAATGGCGGTCAAGAAGAGCACGCTGCCCGTTCGATCCCACGTTGGGAATTTGGCAATGGACTTGTCTGGGACAAAGTTCGCTTTCTGCAGTCGAAGTGAGAGCACCCTAGCCGGGCTTCCTCAGGAGTTCAAGGAGAATAGACTCGACAGCCATTCAACGGTATTCACGGTGAAATGAAAATCCTCAAGAAATAGCCGAAGTCACATGAAGTTAGAAAACATTCGTGGATGACGGATGCAAGGAAACGAATCGTATCCGAGAAATCCTGGGATCCGCGCAGTAGATGTAAGAGACATCGTGTAGAAAAAAATTGGTCATATTCGATGAAACAGATTAAGAGGTAGGAATCAATGGTCTACTGGTTTTTGATAGTGGCTTACAGTGTTGTTTGATCTCATAAAGTGGGTATGCCACAGTCATTGACATAGATCTTCAAGAAGTCGGTGGTCTAAGGTGATTACCAATGCGACCCATGAACCTCCCTCATATGAGGGATCTCGAGCCTGTTAGTCGCGAGGCTACGTTGTGCGTCCCCAGGTGGCGAATAGGGAGTTAATCGAGGACCAAAAGCGACCTCTGCTTTTCTGAGAAGCAGGTGCATCCAGGAGATGGACTCCCTGCTTCTGCTGCGCTGATTTGGCACATACTTTCTGTATTTGCTAGGCATAT